CCCCCCCCCCCTCGCTTGCTCGCCACACAGCCGCACCAACACCCGACGATGGACCTCAAGGCGGCGTTTGACGAGATCCTCGCCGCGCCGATGGCGACAACCAGCTTTTGGAAGGACCTCTTCCTGCGGTATGTCTTCCACACGGCCACCTCCTCGGACCTGCTGGCCGATGATCTGCTCTTCTACGTGAAGCTGCCGATTGTCGACGGCGAGGTCGCCGATCTGCCGGCCGAGGATCTGCTGATTGTCCGTCGCCGGACCGAGCCCAACGCCATTCCCTCGGATGAGGAGTCCCTCATCATCAACTGGCGCGAGACTTTCTACTTGAACACAGTGGTTCAGGTGCGTTGTTGCCATCTCTCCGGGGGCCCCGGGGGAAGGGTCAAGCGCGGGAGCAAGCGGCGCGACTCCCCGGTTATTGACGCATCAGCATGTCCACATGCACACACACACACACACACACACGCGCGCGCCTGTAGCTCAACTTCCAGCTTATGGTGGCTGTTTGCACGCGGCGCTCGGTTGGCACCGAGGTGGCCCTGGAGGCGCATCGGCATGTCGCCAAGCGGGTGTACGCCTCGCCGAACATGACCCGCATGGATCAGAAAGGTGCGCGACCCGGCCCCCCCCCCCCCCCCATGACAGGAGCCCCTCTGCGCGGGGCCCGACACACGCCTGGCACTAATCTGCCCACCTCGCATGCCCACCACCAGGCCACGACTACGCCGTGTCCTATCCCCTGATCTACTTCATTGTCGAGGATTTCGAGGATGCCTTCGCCAACATCATCATCCATGAGAATGAGTACCTTTGCGTGGAGGTGTCCGTCAATTTCCAGGTCCCGGATCAGCAGGGGTCGGTGGTCGCATCGACCAGCGTCTCGCAGAAGCTGAACATCCCCACCCAGCAGACCCCCGACCGGCCGATGAAGGTGACCATCTTCCAGGGGGCCGTCAACTGGCAGGCTCTGCTGAACACCTTCCAGAAGCAGCAGGTCTCCACGCTTCCCTTCACCCGGGCCGCGGCCTCGTCCTGTGCGTGGGGGCGCTTCCCCTGCCTTGGGCCGGCCGATGCCGAGCCTCGCAGCCGCGTCTCCGTGCCGCCACCCCCGCCACCACGGTGCTGACATACGCTCCCCGCCTCGCCCCGTCCCCCCTGTCCCCCATACCACCCATCCGGCTTGCCGGCCCTCGGCCCCCGCTTCGGCCATGTTTGAAAGCCGGCGATCGAGTTGAATACATCATGATGCGCGGCCCCGGCGACAAGGGCCATACGCAGGTTGCGGTCAGCGTGCCGCCGGCGGCCAGCGCCTCGGGCGATCTCGGCGCCAGCGACTCCACCGACTCCCTGCGGCAGGGGTTAATGCGCGGCTGGGCCCGCCTGCAGCAGGTCCGTGCACATACGACACCTGCCTGCTGTTCATATGCCCTCGCGCGCGCGCACACACACGCACACACACGCACACACACACACACACACACATTTGAGCCCCCTCCTTTCTCATCTCTCAATTGGCGGCTGCCCGCCCGCCCGACGCCATACTCACCATCCCACTCCGGACATCGGACACAGACTGTGCAGGGACGCTACGAGCCGATTGCCCAACTGCGCACACAGCTGACATTCGTCAACATCCACTGGACGTCGATCATCAATGACATCATGGACGTCTACTACGGAAAATACAATCCCTCCGGCGACCCGAAGTTCACCACCTCGCGCCCGGCGCCGGAGACCCCGCTAGCGGCCATCAACACTGCTCGGCACCTGGCGCAGGCGCGCTGTCAGGAGATGGCCGCCGCCTCCGAAAAGTAAGCTCACCGTGCGGCAAAGCCGGATGCGCATCCCCGCACATGGCGCCCGGCCGGGCATAGATCTTCACCAATATACCCCGAAAGAGACACGGCGAGCGAGAGAAGGGAGACCGGGGAAGGTGGGGGAGCTGATGGTGCGAGGGGTGCCAGCTTCGGGCGAGGAAAATAGGGCAGGCGTCTCACCGGGGCCGCCGGAGATCAACAGAAACCAGGCGAGAGCGGGGGGGGGGGGGGGGGGG